TACATCATAATCATTCTGGACAGTGTAATTTGAGGGGTGTGTGTGAGTGTGTGTGTGTGTGTGTGTTGAGTGGCAAAGCAAGAAAATAAAGACAAAAATTAATCCAATATGGAGCCTCAATTCTATTGCCTGAGATATTGTAATTATTTATCAAGTATTTTGTTTCACTGAGTTTAGAGTGCTTCAAAACTGATAAAGAATTAAGATTTAGATGTTGAACTTCTCATGTAATCTATGGTCTGACACCATTCACCATTTTGACTACTACATTCTGATTTTCTAATTTGAACATGAAATTTTTCCTTTAAAAAAAAGTTCCTTCCATGTATATCAAAGTCAAAGTTAAAACCTCAAAACACGTTTTCTTTTAAATGTTTTTAACTTTAATTTTTACAAGTCAAACATTGTATTAGTTGAACTGGGCATTGGAACAAGAGAGACATGAAAAAGGAAGTGCCCAGCAAGACTTCTTTTTCTCTCTTATTTTCTCTCACTTTGTATTTGTGTATTTACTTAGCTGTGTTTGATTAATTTGATGTCTTCTGTGGATGCATAGTAAAGTTTTCTTTATTTTTTTAAATTGAGATATAACTGACATAAGTAAAATTTTTATTAAAGAAACAGAAAAAGAATGGTGGTCCACTTTAGTCCAGTAAGAGTACTTCCACTCAGCATTTCAAAGTGTTAAGTTTGGTTTTGTGACTTCTCCTATCCAAGGTGTCCTTACTTTTTGCTCTTAAGGATAATCTTAGTTTTCAAAAGGCATTTTGTAAATTCACAGTGTGGAGGGTGTAGGAAAGAGTACAGAAGCTCAGAGAAAGTGGTTGTAATTCTAAGCAAGCCCAAGTTACAGGACTGTGTCATGCCTTAATCTATATAGTGTTTCTGTATACACACTAGGGTATTAATAGGGCCAGAATTATCCTTTGCTGTATTACCACTGCCTTTTCTTAAAGATTCTGTTACATGGTTCCAATCTTGGGATCATTGTTTTCTCTTCCAGAGTGTATTTTGGGAAAAGCTTCTTTACGACTCATGCATATTATTGATAGAAGGCAAATAAATGTACTTTCAAGTATCTCCTATGTGCAAAGTATCCTACTTTACTGCAGGAGGCTGGAGGTTGAATGAGATTTAGTTTGTAGTCTTGAAAGTGACCATCTTGGGGCTACATTTTGGACTCCTCCCTTAGTGAGTAGTACTGTCTGTATTCATTAACACCAGATCCCTATTAAGACCAGATCCTTACCCTTTCTGCCTAGGAACTCATCTTCTCTCTCCATCCCAGTCATTTTTTTTTTCCATGAGAGGAATATACATCTGCATATCAGCAGCAAGTATCAAAGCAAGTAGAAAGAGCTTTCATGATGTGTATGATCTTGTATCATATAATAAGTTTGAATATAATCTAGATTTTTGCTAAAGATTATTTCTCTCTTCTGGAGATAAATATTCATAATAAGTCCATTTCTAGGAAAACCGTCTGTCTCTGGAGAACTCAAAATTGGGTTCCTTCATAGATTGCTCCTTCCACTTATTACATACATCTGCAACACTGCTTCCTCTGCGAGGGCTCTTTCTCCGATTTCCAGCACTCTCTGGCCTTCCTCCCATTTTAGAGTCCTCTTCTCTCCATCTGATGGACAGAAGGCATGAGTTCTTTCTGTGTCTCTCCCACCTTCCCTTTCTTTTTACCTCTTTAATTTTGCTGATCCAAATGAACTTATAAATTGCTATTAACCCTAGGTCTTTGTATCTCCTCTTGAGGACAGTGTTTTATGACAACTAATGGTTTGGATCTACTGATTCCAGAGTCCAGCAACTGGTCTTTGTTAAGATCAAGTGCTGCCTTCTGTCTACTCTGTAGAGGCTGAACCTAACCTCTTGAGGAACAGGATCAGTACTCTCTAAAGACTCTCTTCTTTCTCTCCTCCTCTCGCATTTCCTCTTACCCCCCAAACATTACTATGTGAGTTTGTTAGGAAATCTCCCAAGCCTGGTATCACGAGGGTGAGTGAGCAGACTTTCCACAGCCTGTTCATCCCATCCCCACTTCAGGTGTTTTGCATATGGTATTTAGGAGGATTATTAAACAAAAATGAAATAGATTAAGAAATGAGCATAAAAGAATCAATTCTCTGGAACTGTGGTTGCATAATGGAAATCGACTACCATGAATGAACCCTTGTACTGAAGTTATGAACAGCAGAGCTAATGCACTGCCATGAGTTCATCTTTATTATTGCATTACACCTGAATCAATTGATAAAATAGCCTTTTTTTTTTTTAAGCAAGGGATGGCACTTAATTGAATAAAAGTCAATGTAATTATATTAGCAGAGGCCAACAGTACTGCTGACAGCGGAAAAGGGACACTTTTGAGCAGAGTGCCAGAGCTGGTCTACACATTTCTGCACATCGTTTGGTTGACAGATATTGAGGGCTGGTACATCATCTAATTAGATTACAGATTTCTGTTGCTGTAAGTGAGAAATGAAGAGAAACATCTCTTCCTGGTAACATATCAGTAGAGATGTGTAATTTCACAAGTCAGCTTAGGAAAGAAGTGTCCATCTGGGTGATCCGTGTGTCCTCTTGTCAATGTTAATTTATTCTTCCTTATTCAGTGTGTCTGGATGTGACTGCTGTGTGTCTGGCTGCTGTTTTCTCAGCAGTGAATCTAGGAAGTGGTAACTGCAGATGTGTGAGAAGCAACGGAGTTCTAGATTACAGTCATCACAAAATGTGTGCTTGTGAAATTAAGAAAGTGGGGAGGGTGTTACAAATAATAAACAGAGGGGTAGGCTTTTGCGGGCTACTTACAGTTGGCAGTTTGTTTTATCAATAGAGTCATAGGACGCAGTGTAACTCTGTTTCCACATCCTTATAATAAGTGTGGGGACATCACACCCGCACGTCAGGGTGGAGACCGCACAGTAGGTGTTTCCTGCACTCTGCTTAGCAACCTGCACTTGGAGTCATCTGCTATCTGACACCCAGGACACGGGGAGCAACAGTGTCAGAGCAGGGACCGTGGGGACAGCTTCTGTTTATCACTCACATACTCCCCCCACACACACACCCCGCATGCATCTGTGTAGAACTCATTTATGGATGATAATGTTGCTGTGAATTTGGTTTATCTTAATTCGATTCATGATTTTTGGATTATACAGCTGATCTGAAAATCATCAAGACAGCATATGAGATGATCGCTTAATGACAGAAAATGATTTTGTGATCAGAACATTTTAAATCCCTATTTTATTGTTTAAGTTTTTTTTTAAACCAGATGTCTAGAATGTGAATTTGTTTTCTCTCTCTCTCTCTCTTTCTCTCTCTTTCTCTCTCTCTCTGTCTCTCATTCTTGCTTTCTTTTGTGATCGATTTAGCAAAAGATTAGAAAGCTGATCTTATTATCACAAGGTAAGCTCAGCCTTCCTAAGTGCAGTGTGGAGAGGGCTGCTCCCCTCTACCCCTTAACACCCGGAGTGCTATATATTGTCTTGTGTGGAAAGGTGGAGAAGTCTTTTCCTACCTTTCTTGTCTCTGAGGCACATACCTCTCAACCATCTCTAAGAAATTTGCCATGCTTGTCACCAAATGGAGTGACTCATTTTGGTCTTGCATATGTTTTAATTATAATCAGGAGGTCTGTTGAATGTTATACTGGCCATTCTAGGTCATTTCTATTATCACAGTTACTTCTTCAAGATGTAGAGCTTCTGCCGTTATCGAGAAGCTTTAATGTATCTGTGTATTTATTTATTGGTTTATTTTTTGGAAGGGTAGCCTCCAATTTAGGTGCTTGTCAAATATGTGAGCCTTTGCAGGTGGAGAGAGGTATATGCCCAAGGGCACTTTAAAAATAAATGGGGGATGTAAATACAAAGGCAATGTTTTCAGATAGATAATAACATATCAGGCTTTGTAAATCATGACATCCCTATGGATGCTGGGGGACAAATCCTATCTTTGTTTCTTTTTTTGTTTTTACACAAGCAAAGCACTTAGTAGAGTAAAAGTTTTGCTTGTCCAAGAAGTACAGATGCCAGTTGTTAAAATAGGGGGACTGTATATTGTGCTTGATTTTGGGGGTATTTATTGTGTGTATCCTTTTCTTTTTAGTCCTTTTGGTTTTTTCTGTTGTTTAGTGTGATTTTTTTAAAGGTGGTTGGGTTTTGTTTTAAAAAACAATTTATATTATTCAGGCTTTGTTTTAAAGGATTACATTTTAAAGGTTGAATTACTCCATGAAAGCATTTTCAACAGTAAAATGCAGCAGCTTCTGAAAATGAAGCACAGTTTACTAGAAGGTTAGTTGAGATCCCAAATTATTCTGAGGAAAGGGATGTATGATACAGTCTGCAACCCTATTTCAAATTGCTAATCTATAAAACTAAATTTTTTCCTTCCTAAAATGTGAAATATAGACAGGTGAGGGAGATGTCATTGTGTTTTAAAGTTAAACTGAAATTATCTAGACCATTTACTTTTTAAAAAATTGTTCTTTTTTATACCTCTAAATGAAGTACTGTAGGCAAAAGAAGCTTGGTTTTTGTTTTTTTTTTGTTTTTTTCAGGTGTAAATTCAAATTATTCAGTTTAGATAAGCAGCATGTTTCCATTCTTTTGCCCTATTTAATATATGTTCTGAAATCTCTGCTGTGAGATTCTCCACAGCTGGTGCTGCTACCCAGGAAAGCTAAGAGTATCATTGAGAAAAAGGTGCATGGGTTTGCATTCATCCTACCATTGAGGAATTGTACTCTTCTAAAAATTACGTTAATGAAAGGCTCCCCTTATTGCACTCCCCACCACCACTTATTCCCAAATCCTGAGAATGTAGGGAAATGTTTGCTTTTATAATGGTGTAATTAGCAATGAATGTGCTTATTTGATGCCTGGTGGAAGCTGAATCAATTTTAAAATGTTCTTCTTTTTCTCACCCCTCCCCACTCCCTGTACACCTTCCCCCCCCCTTCCCTCTTGTTTTCCTAGACACAGTGCCAACATAAACCTGCATCGCAAACTGTTGACCAAAGAACTCGATGACATGGGCCTGGACTCAGCGCAGCCCTCCCTTAGCAAGGACCTCCGGGATGAATTTTTGATGAAGATCTATGGTGCCCAGCACCCCTTGGGGCTCGATGTCAGGGAAGATGCCTCCTCTCCCGCAGGGACTGAAGACTCCCACCTGAATGGGTACGGGAGAGGCATGGCAGAGGACTACATGGTCCTTGACCTGAGCACCACCTCCAGCCTGCAGTCCAGCAGCAGCATCCATTCCTCCCGAGAATCCGACGCGGGCAGCGACGAGGGGATTCTTCTCGACGACATTGACGGGGCGAGTGACAGTGGGGAGTCCGCACACAAGGCCGAGGCCCCTGCCCTCCCGGGCAGTTTAGGAGCCGACGTTCCAGGATCTCTGATGTTCAACAGCTTGTCCGGGAGCAGTGGTGGGATCATGTGCAACATTTGCCACAAAATGTACAGCAACAAGGGGACTTTGAGAGTGCACTACAAAACTGTGCATTTGCGAGAAATGCACAAGTGCAAAGTCCCCGGTTGCAATATGATGTTTTCCTCTGTGCGAAGCCGAAACCGGCACAGTCAGAACCCTAATCTCCACAAAAACATTCCCTTCACTTCAGTAGATTAGGCTCAGAACGGACACTACAGATGCCAGCTCTCACCAGATGGCCTACATATTTGAACTGCCATAGTCAGTGTGTGCTTGTGTGCTTGGGTGTGTGCGTGTGTGTGTGTGTGTGTACACATGTACGCCTCTGTGTCTACATACACACACACGCATCTTTTCTTTAGCTATAAAAAGATAAACACTAGGTGCTTTTGAAATTGTTTTCTTTTTCCTTTATAGTTTTGGGAAGGGGTGGGAACTTTAATTTGGGAGTGAAAACAGAGTACCCTTAAGACACACATACACACACACACACAAAGTGTGCAACTAGCCCAAATTCTGAAAGAATAAGAATTCTCGGTCCTCTCCAGAGGGACAGTTTGTTGTACCCATGACTGTTGCCTGCAAAGAAATAAATAAAAGGGGGAAAAAAAGAAAAAAGAAACAAAAAAGGAACTTCTTACAGTTGTCTTTTGTGAACTTTAAGGTTTTGAGAGAATCTTCAATTAAAGCATGGCAGATTCACCTGTAAATATTTAGCCTTGAGAGGCCAATGATGTAAAGCAATTGTATTGATGGTTGTTTAACTCTTTTGTTTAATTTTTACAGTTACATCCAGCTGTTAGATATGCAGGAGAAAAATAGTTTGCTGGCTAGCTCTATTCATTTATGTTAGCATTAATGCACATTTTTTTTTTTTTTGAAGAAAAACCATGGTCTTGTTTTTACTACCTGCTAGATAGTGATAAAGAGGTGCTGGCATGCTTTACAGCACAGATCTGATTTTTTAAAATGTCCTGTACTAGTACATAAATCCAGTCATGCACTTTTTTTCATACACTACAAGGGGATGTGTAATATCCATGCTTCTTTTTTTATCCTTAAACTATTGCCATACTTCAAGTAAGTGTCTTTTTAAAAAAAATCACTTGTATAAAAATGGTCTGGTCAGTATAGGGCACAAATGCCAAACAAAAGTATTAGTGTTAACACAAAACTGCCAACTTTGCACAAGTTTCCAGAAAAGAAAATACAATTAGTCACTCAACATAACCACAGGCCAATTTGTCGGCCACCAGAAAACCGCTTTAAAAAAAGAACACTTGGTGATTCTTTCAAGTGCCGAATGTTATTAGAATCAACATTGCATCCTTCTTGCTTATATGTTAAGTTACATAAAAGGAAAACAAAATTATGTGGTGTGAAACAGCCAAGGCATTTACTCTTCAGAGGCAGGATAATATTTCAGGATACAAAAGCCCAAGTTACTCACTATGGAACAAAGCTGAAAATAGTAAAAGTGTTGAACACTCATTTCCAAGGACCTAACCCTTCTCCTTTAAAAAGAAAGAAGTAAGTCTGAACTGGGTTGGTCTGTTGTATGGCTGTCTAATTTTTTGCAAGTTAGGCAGTCGTCCTATGATTCAGGCCCGTTTGATAGACAAAATCAAAAGACATTTCACAGCGGCAGTTACTCAGAAGCTTTGAAAACATGTGCTGAACTTGAATTGAGCAACACTCCTTTCTGAAAAGCCAGACGAAGGGGGGTTTAAAATAGGATCTCTCACTGTTGAGTGTTTTGTGTTTCCCCACATGATTTGTCAGAGAGAAATGAAAGCAAGTCTGAAACCCGGCAATTGAGAGTGAGAAAGAGGGGGAGACAATTCTCCAAACCTTTTTTGTTTTGTTTTGTTTTGTTTCCGATGTTTACACATGTTGCCTGAGCTGGTTAACCACATGGGCAGCCCTCAGCTACCACAACATACTGACTAAATGATGATATTTACTCAAGTTCAGTCTGCAGCCAAAACCATTAGGACATGCATTGCAGACTGTGTTTTGTTGTCTTTTTTTTGTTTGTTTTTAAGTGGAGGGGGGAAAGACAGATAAACAAGGAATATTTTGTCTAACAGTACACAATAATTTAAAGAGAATGTATTTCTTTTCTGCATTTAATGGCCTCAAACATTTCTCTCATGGGTCTCAAGGTTAGAAATACCCCCTTTGTTTGAACTTTGCATGTTGTTTCCATTTTTCATATGTTTTGTAATTATTTTTTCTATGTTCACATCAGCATTCACTTCCGTTAAATTTGCCAAAGGAAACTGTTAATATGTTTCTGTTGTTGTTATTATTCCTGTAGGATTTATTGTACCTCACAGTATTTATTGTTTCCAAAAATAAGCATCATTAGTTGAGGATTCAGTATTTTTATTTGTAAAAATTTCAGAAACAATAGATTCTTCAAGATAAGCTAGACTTGTCTAGAAGCTTCATCTTTTCATCTCCTTCAGAGGATACTATGGGGTTCGTTTAATTCGTTTGTTCTCCAATGAGGAAAGACCAAAAGTATTCGCAGTACAAAAGAAACCATATCAAACACTATGTCTGTTAAATGACAAATGTTTACGGTAAAAAGCTGAGGAATTAGTAATAACCATTTTTGTTTTCTTGTACCTTTGAATTTCCCAAAGTCTTAATTGCTTTATTTTGGTGTTGTGTTAAATTGAATAGACAGAGATGTTTTCCTTTGTTTTATACCATATAAGACTATGTACAGTATGTTTGTGAAAAATTGAACTAGAATAATGAAAGTTTGTTTGCAAACATTTTTGTCCTCTTAGCGTTCTCTGTGTTGCGCTGTTGCCCCACTACCAAATGATTCGAGTCAAAAAGGGTGGAAAAAATATTTTTTAGTATACCAAGAAGAGATTAGGGAGACACTAGCTTTTGGATTGTGATAGACTGAATTACACCTAGTTTTATGAAAATTAACACATTTTTATTTCAGTGATATTTAAAAGTTATACTCTTGGCTGAGCTATTAGAACTCATCTTGTACAGAATCAATGTTTAGTCTGTTTAATTTAATGTCAACTAAAAGGTCAAATAGCCCTCGTGAGTGAATTACATAGCTGTCAGCGGGTCACATCAGCAAATGAACTGGGCTTAGAACAAATGTTTGTTACTTGCCGCAAACCGGGCTAATGTGAATAGCCAGTTAGAACAGCCCGGAAGTAATGAGATTCTCAAAGTAGAATTCCCCTTGCTCGGAAACGTGAATGTGTTCGCCTGAGATTTGTCAGAGAAACGGCCACGAGTCCTGGACAACTGGCTCTTGTTTTTAAGTGTCTCCCCTATTTGCTACTGCTTTTGTGCCTCAAGTGCCCAAATGTTATGGTGGCCTTCTAAATGGGTGAAAAACACTTTCTAGTATAAAGCCTATTTGCTTAAAAAGGGACTGCGGGAGTGGATGGAAGCAAAGCGGCACCTGGACTTAATATGTAACATTATGGATTGCACAGGGCTTCCCGTCCCAGAGTGTTGCTTGTTCTCGGGTGTGTGCCTGAGCTCAGTGTTTTGACTTAACTGTGCATCTAGTTAGGACAGTGATCCCAAGGCTTACTTGCAAACGGGAAGGGAAAAGAGATCAGCATTTTAATCACTGGGCCCTTCGTCTTTGTCCATTTTCTACTCGTTTGTTTTTTCGTAGGAGTTTTCTATGGTGAAACGGTTTCTCTCGAGCTGCATCCATTCTGTGCTGGCTGAAAAGGAAGGGCGATGCAGATTTTCATCCAAGCAGCTTTCCCCCATTTGATTGATTTAACCACGGTTTTGTCACAGGTAGAAAACGAGGCAGTATTATTAATGTGCATGTTCGCTAGCTGATGTCGAAACTTACTGTTTTGATCATTTTAAACTATGTTTTTGTACATATCAGAAAGGCTGAGTCTGCTTTAGGGAACGTCTGCACGCTGCGGAGGCGACGGCAAAGAGCAAGAGGAGGGGTAGATGATGCGTAATTTGGTTTTAAAAATGGGATTAAGAAGCTCGACCCTCTTTGTTCTGCTATTAATTGTATGGAGATAAGTCAGCGCAATGTAATGCTTCTCAGGATCCTAGTCTAGCTGTCCAGTGCAGCCTGAGGCCTTTTAAAGGTTTGAAGGTATTAATGTTTTCTTTCTCAACGTGAATAACATCTTTTTTGAAAACGTGTTTAGCACAATGGTGCCACTGTCCTTGTAGTGTGATTTCTTTGGTCATGAATTTCCAGGCCCTTCTAGTAAGAGGAGAAAGACACTTCCCTGGTTAACAGCCCTGTTACTGTATACATTGCTCTTAAAACAAAAACAAACAAACAAACAAAAACTTTGAATATACTAAGAATAGGCTGTTATTCCAGAGGCGTTCTCCCCATTTTACTCAGGAGAAACCAAGCACTAGATTCCCACCAAATAAAAAGTGACCTTTTGTTCCCCTTCCTAGGTACACACCCCAGATGTGTACCAAGCAAATGAGAATGGGGGCCATTGGCAATTAAAACATAAAGAAGCCGGGAACAGCTTGGGGTGGACATGCTGCTAACTGCTAACAGTTGACCTGAGCAGTCCTAACTTGTGCTCAGTCTGTTAGCATTGGATTCAATTGACTAACAGAGTAAGTAAAACTCAGCTGTAATAAGACACACCACATCTGCTATCAAAAAAACAAACCATCCAGAAGAAATTTTCTTTTATCCCCCATACACACTCCTTAACTTCTAAACAATTACAATAAATTTTATTCATTAAAAACTCAGAATATTTATGTCAGAGGATCTCGCTTCTCCCTCCCATGCTTTGTCTTTTAATAGGTATGGCCTAAGTGTGATAAGGAGGGCGATAAAAGGCAGGTGCCAAAAAGACTGGAGGGAATGAGTTTTTCCAAAAGCAGATTAAGGGGTACCAAGTAGGGGATTGATACTTGCCCTGGCTTAGGGTAGCGAGAAAGGAAAATGGTGAATGAACCCAAAGTGTGCAAAAGGAAGGTCTGGTACACTTGTGCCAAGCAGTGGTGAGAGCATATGATGCACCGCCCCACAGAGCTCCCTATGACCAGGTGCACCGTGGCACCCCAGTCTGAGTAACAGGGGAAAGCAAGGACAGCTGCGTGGAAATACAAGTTCCTTATGGGTCAGAATAGCCAACAAGGGCAACCGTGGAGGCTTTTTCTTTGCTTTTGGTTTTGTTTTGCGGGTGGGAAGTGATGGTGGAGTCCCTTAGGGAAGCAAAGAGATGTGGTGGGTCACCTAGGTTCTAGAAAAGGCTGGTGGTCAAACTGGGCTCTTAAATGTATTTTCTGCATCAT